GCCCCCATTGTGATTGTCAAGATACCAAACGGAAAGATCTGTCTATGTACAGACTATGCTACACGACTTCATGCTGCTTTGGGAGATCACAGTTACCCTCTGCCCCTTATTGCATGTCTGAACGTGGAAAGTGTTTCACCAAACTGGACTTTTCTGACGCATATCAGATTGAAATATCGCGTGAGTTGCTGACCATAAACACTCACAAAGGATTATTCCAGTCTACACGCCTACCATTTGGCGTTACATCGGCCCCACCAATCTTTCGGCAGATCATGGATACAATGCTTGAATCATGTCATTATCGTAGGATCTAACCAGGAAGAACTGCACCAACAAACTGAATACTTGCTTGAGCAGAAAAAGGGAAAGAGGATTTCGCCTAAGGATGGATAAGTGTGAATTTTTCATGACCTCCATTGAATACCTCGGCTTTATCATTGACCAAAGTATACGACGACCTGATCCATGATGCAAGGCGATCCATCGCTTGCTCCCACTTAAACACATAGCGACATTAAGATCTTTCCTTGTTATGGTGAGTTCTTACATACCTACCTACCCTCCATACATGACTTATGTACCGACGATACTAAGCCTAAACTAAGTACGTCGTACGAAAACTAAACTAGAAACTACGACCAAATAAACCTAGGTTTAACGCACGGTCTGGGCAGAAGAATAAAACGAAGTATCCTGTAACCGTGATTTTGTAAGACATATTAACTATAGCAAATGACTTAGGCATAGGTTTTGAAATCGTAGTGCAAGAGTGCGGAAATTGTACAGCATGCGGCGCCGTGCGAGTATTTGGGCAGTGTCACAGTACCATAATATTATGGATGACCCTGAAACGTCAAGGTTATGTCAGTGACCGAGTGAAAGGAATAAATATACGATATGGTAACTGATTGTAGGACAAGCAATGTAAAATCAGAATAATTAGGGAATAGAGATACCGTGTTCTCAATTAAGCAGTCCAGGTTGGGGATACATCAAAGTTCCTTTGCTGATGAGTCTGGACCACCGAACGTCAGGAAGCTTTCGACAAGATCAAGTCATCATTAAGTTCAGCACTGATTCTAACTACGATCAAAAACTGCCAATTGTCGTAGCATCGGATGCATCCAGCTGCGGCGTTGGAGCAGTCATCTCCCAGCCGGGTCTAGCAAAATGGACATCAGCAGTATGCTGGTACGTAGTACTGACGCTTCGCTGCCGCGCAACCACTACCGGTCGCACGCGGGCTAAGGATACTGCCAGGGTTGCTCTGCCTCCACGCAGTCTCCAACTCGCGCTGCCAGATAGCAAGGCAAGCTCGCTGCCTTTAGGCTGCTGGTCTGAGAGGCTCATGCCGCTGGTTCGCTGACAGTAGCAGTAAGAAACTATAGCCAAATTGAGAAGGAGGCTCTCGCTATTCTGTTTGCGTTAAAGCATTTCCACAAAATGCTGTATGGCTGACACTTTACCTTGCTAATGGATCACAAACCACTTCTTGCTATTTCGGCTCGAAGAAAGGGATTCCAGTATATACGACCAATTGTCTGCGAAGATGGGCAACAGTATTGCTTGGTTATGACTTCAGCATCAAATACAGATTGACAAGTGACATCTTTCAGGCCGACACACTATTACGAATTTTGTTGAACAGCATCAGCCAGAAGACAAGGTCGTTACTAATGTCTCAATCGATTCGGAAGTCAACCATGTACTCGGATCCTCTGAGCCAGCTCTCAATACCTTTCTGTCAAATTTGAAACGCTATTTTACAAGACCTGTGGATGTCAAAGGTGAGCACGTTTTACCATCTACAGTGACCAGGAAACATTTTGGACACAGTTACAGCAATGGTTCCAGAGACGAAATGCATTTTCTGTTGCCGTAGACTGTATCCTGTTTGGTGAACACGTCGTCATTTTTAGCCGAACCTCAATCGAAAGTCCTGCATCAATTTCACACTGGAGGTCTTAGCGAGTTATGTGTACCGGTCATTTATGAATTCTCAAATTTAGGAGTTAACACATACGTGTTCATAGTGTCCTCCAGCAGCGAAATCGGCTAGAAAATGCAAACTGTCTTCTTGGCCGACCCCCACGAAACCATGTTTGAGCGTTCCCCTTACTTTTGCAAGGCAAATCAAAGTACCTAACTTCTTAGCATACAGCAAGTGGCCCGAGATCTTCCAAATGTCAAACATTTCAACATCAGTCACAATCACAACCCTCAGGAAAGTATTTATTCGGTTCGTTCTTCCTGAAACAGTAGTATCCGGCAATGGACCTCAGTTTGTCTCTTCACTTTATGCTGAATTTTGTGCGTTACACGGCATAGAGCACCTGCGCTCACCACCTTATCATCCAGAGTCAAACGGGCAAGCTGAAACATTAGAGGTTACTTCCTAATGGGTTCTGCTCGAAGCTGAAGAAGACAGGCCAATTCAAGTAATCCTACAGATTTTTCTGCTAACATACAGGATTAAACCCAACCAACATACGCCTGACGGATAATCTACAGCAGAATCAATTTTACGTAGAAAGATTCGAACAAAATTTGACCTATTAAGGTCGTTTGACAGACAATTGCGAAGGAAACTGGGCAATAGAACATTAGTACAACCGAAAACATCACTCGGTTCCGCGACCTTTCGACATTGGACAGAAGGTGTTGGCATAAGACTATCGGAACACAAAAATCTAGACAACTGGAGTGGTTATAAGACAGTCATGTCTGCTATGAAGTGGCCATAGGCGATGATAGAAAATTCACCACACCAACCAACTCAGGAGGTACACATCATTTGACACATCACTTGAAGTACTTCTGGATCAGTTCAAGCTGCAGACGACGGAAGCTACTCAGCAAAGCAATCACGATACTCCACCAATCCCTCCTTCACCTGATTGTCGGCCCAGAAGATGGAAGGCTCGTTGCCAAGTCCCTCTCACGACAATCCAGGCCAACCCCAGACTACAATCATATAACAGTGAACTTCTTTTGAGTAAGAGGATTTTGGTGAGTTTTTACTGAGTTCCTCGCAATCAGCCGACACTTCTGATAACTCAGTTATCAATTCTGGAAAGCACCAGACGACCGTTTCGCCTTATTGGGGCTCGTCAGTGGTGCGCATCCTTCGGTCCTCCTCCGAGGATCTAACTCATGACTGCTAGTAGCTTGCGCCAACCACTCCGCAGCTTATGCTACTGAGCCATGGGGACGGTAGCCGACCATCGTGAATCGTTACTTAACTGCGATATGGCCCGACCTATCCTCAACTGCCATGCAGATGACAGCGGTTGGCCTTCTGGCATTAGGACTTCCCGGTTACGGCACCTATGAATCGACATAGCATTTGTTGCTCAAAAGAATGTTCTCACACAACCTAATACTATCTTTGGTAAGTAAAGAATACAAGAGAATAGAGAACGCTCAGGGAGGTCGCTACGAGCTAATAAGTATCGGTGCTCTGCGCTGTTATAGTCTCGTGTCTGGTAGCATTTTAATCGTATCTACGGTCTTGTTTTTTTATCGGTCAATCTGGGCCGACAGGTTTTTACCATGCAGCCGATCAGAGGGGCTGTGTTACCTTGGTGACCATACCAGATTTACCTCACTTTTCTCACCAGTGATATTATTTGGTATCTTTGCGACGCGATTCGTGACGACTTAGTCCACCGCACCTCGGTACCCGTTACTTAAACTGAAATGATCTGAATTGTTGTTTGTCTAGATTTCTGCGTCACATTCAAGTTGGATTGTATCTTATTGCTCACTTTGATGGAGAATTCGAATGTTTCTTATCCATACTGGGTCGCTGTATAATATATAGCGACCCTACCAGTGCATAAACGAAGTCATCGGTGTTATCGCAGAGAAGAATTTAGTCGCGATTGCCCTTGAACATTCAGAGGACGATCTCATGGGGTATGTTTAGGCATGATTTAACTGTCAGAACCAGGGAACCTAACGGTTAAAACAGGACGGGTATATCACCCAAGCTATCGGGTGTCCCACATGTTGCTTTCACGTCAGTATTTTCGCCAGTCTACTAGGTTAAGTTTAGCGATAGTCATGCCTTGTCGTTGAATGGATCTTGAAACTACTGACCTCCTTAGCTCAGTAGCTCTGAATGATGCAGTTACCCACGTTTACACTCTCATATCCGGCCTCAACTATTTGATTGAATCCATTTGTTGTCGATTCACCAAGTATGCGGGAAATAAACCAGTTTATTTTTGTTGTCAAGCTTTACCCACCACGTTCGTTCGTGGCTAACTTTTTATTGCACCTGTCCTGTTTGGCGATCAGACAAGTTCTCGAAGCCGGAGCGCATGTATTTGTAGCCTTCTCGTCCGCTGTTTTTCTTATGAGCTAAGCTTTCCAACGGTCTTATAGAATGACTGGCGGACTCCTTGCATAGTTCGTGCACTTTGTCTGACCCTCCGTCCACTGTCTTTTTGGTTTGCTTTTTTGTGTACGATTCTCTACGTAGAACTCAATTTGAGGCATGCATCATTCATGTTTATGCTATGGTCGCGGTTACTGGGGCGTTGAGCCATCAGAACAAAGACCAGATCTCAAATCACATGAAACAGGCAAGACGGCCGATCATATAGCTTAAGGTGAGAGTGTGGTAGCCGGGCGACGGCCTGATGCGTATGAACCCCAGCGGACCGTTGGGTATGAGTGAAGTTTACGATCAGGTGTGTGGGACGACATCGTACTTTTAAGGCACCGGATCGCCTGGTGTCACCGTTTCAGGCACCCATCGATGTCATTAGTTAGATACTCACTTTGATTGTCATTACAATCATACACCTACTTCTACGCCACCTTAATCTCCTGCTTTAGCCACTGTATACTTGTTTTTCTAGTTACGTGTTTCTTCTTCGCCATGTACTTTTCTCGGCTAACTCCACGAATCTTTTGATGAAACAAAGCTTGATATTGTTTTCAGACCCAGTGCTTTTTTGTTACTTTATGTCTCTTTTCCCCTTCCACAGATGATCTTTATTTTTATGCCCGCTCCTAAGGCGGCCATGCAGTTCGGTTTCAGCCAATTCACTCTGAATGCCCAGTTGAGTCCCTTGGATCCTGGATCTCCAAGTCAGCTTTTCCACCATTTAATGTTTATTCCTCACTTTCTCAGCCGTCATAGCAAACCATTCTTTTACTCATTACAGTTGACATCCTTGATATGCTACTGGATAATGTTGTCTCCCTGCGACTGTCTGGACTACACGTCGCCTGTTTACCTTCACTGCCCTCACAACCACCTTGGCCAGCATCCTTATTTTCGAGAGAGTGGCGGACTCACCCCAGTCTGCTGTTGGGTCTACGCTTTCCTGCTCACTGGTTCAACATCTGTTGTTGTCCTGGACCCACTACTTCAGTGCATCGATGGGGACATCTTTTTAGCACTTTTCACATGACATTTCAGGTAAACAGCATTCCCCACTCATCTGATAAACTTTGCAGTTGTTTTGCTTTTCTTGCACGGAGTACATACGGGGATCGTCAGTTTCATCGTTCTTCCATGCTTTTCGTCCGTAGGGATACATTATCTGCTGGCCCAGGCTGAATTCAGACATGCCTGCTGATGCCTCACCTGGTTACTTCATTCAAGAGCTGTTTCATATTCATCTCATATTACCCAGTGGTTGTTTTTCTTGATCGCTAAGTAACAACCTAGGCCGGGTACAATCAAATTTCGGTTTTATCACAAGACTATCGCCGTACCGTTTTCAAAGGAACATGTCAGTAAAGACGCCTTTAGACATGCTAGAATGAGTTTTTAAAAACTCAGATATACCTTCTTTCCGTCACACAAATAGCTTTGCGAGTGGGTTCAGCTTATATGCTTGACGCTGAATGTAACTGATCCTTCGCGTATTGAAGTTCGGTCAGAACCCACATCGATTCATTAGTGGTTTTTTGTGCGTTTGACGTTTTTATGTTACTGATGGGCTGCAGCGCCACACCAAACTTTCACACGACTGGGGACGAACCTCTCCAACGAGTCAAGCACTTGGAAAACTAAAGTGGGGGTTATCACTTTTCATGTTCATGCCACGAGATTCTGGTGAGTTCGGCACACAAATACAATTGAGGTAAAAGTCCTTTCGTTGTTACACACTTCCAGCAGTGTACATCGTGCCAATGTATTTTTTTCTTTTTCGGGCTCATTTGATGGAAGTAACCAACGCCGGATGTCGAATTTGGATTTGAAGCTTCGTAATACATCCCATCACAAACATTGATCGCTTCAACACTCAACACTGGTTTCCTAGTTGCTGTCAGACTATGTTCTCTCATCCTGGAAGCCTGATATTAAAGATATGAGCCGATGAACGCGCAATCCCCCATTCCGTTCTCATTCTGGAATATCTTTATATTTCATGTGTCTGAAGCGCCTCGTAACTTTTTGCTTTGTACAGGGTTGTGGACGTACAAAGACGGAACTTATGTAATAGGTGCATTCCCAGGGCTTAAAATGACCAATGTTTATTTCACTGTAACACTTTCCTTATTGGACTGTGTTGCTGTATGGAACAGCGAGCAGTCCAGAGCCAAGCAATGAAGCCAGTCGAACCTTTCTGTGTGCCATGATGAAATACTACCGTCATTTAAGGGATTTTGGCTGTTTCTATTCTACACTACATGTGCTGCTTCATTTCTTTCTTTAGATACATAGTCGACATATAAGTTGCCTTGTCAAAGGCCTTCAGCTGGAGTTGTCCCCGGAAGACTTACACCTGCTGATCTCTTCTCTATCGGCAATGTTAGAGTCTTGTCAAGAGTCAAGCTTGTCAGCTAACTTCACTAGACCCACATGTGCAAGTCACATCCAGCTGTCGAAATCTTCATCGGCGTATTTTCTTCAGGCGGTACACAAGAACTTCCCGAACAGGCCTGTGCACTGCACCGGACACATGGACGATATTAACATGTTCTTTCTTAGTTCCAACCGTGGTAGGTGTTATACATACACAAATTTCCGTATTTCTCCATTTGAATTTATTTGCTTCAGTGTTGGTTGGTTCAAGTCTCACCTTGTGCGCTGCTCCAAAACCCCGACCAACCATGTATTCAACTGAAATCGGAGATAAATTATTTGATAGATCAGATTTTATGCTGTCACTAAACACTAGCTGCTTCCCGCTTCATTGGAAAAATTCCATAATTTTACCGAAACCCAAAGGTAGTCTACCAGTTAGGATGTCAAATTATCGACCGATAAATCATACCTCCACCTCCTCTAAGGCCTTAGGGAAAATCGCCAAGACTTGGGTAATACAGTTCCTTACAGCAGTTCCCAACATGGGTTCATAATAAAACGTTCTTGTGTCACATGCCAATTGAAATTCCTCGATCCTCTTACAGCACCCATTGATGACGGCATTGCCATCATCATCATTCTTCTGGTTATACAAAAAGCGTTTGACTGTCTACCGCACAGATCATTGTTGGACAAGTTGGAGTCCTATGGAAATAGTAACCCTCACTTGAGTTGGTTCGAATCATATCTTAACGGCCGAACACAAAGAGTACAGATTGATCAATATTGTTCTACTTCCAGAAATGTCACTAGCGGTGTTGTTCAGAGCAGTGTATTGGGCCCATTGCTGGCTAGCCGAACAACCTCCCCGTGGTGCCAGCTGCGTGGTTCGGGTTAATCCCGTTCCAGCAAATGCTTCGGCGGCAGTGTTCCAGAATGTGGTGGGATTACGCCTGGCAAGCGTTCTTCCTGTAAAATCCACAGATATCTGTGAGATGTCGGATGTGACTCGCCACTAAATAAACTTACTGCCTCTTCCCTTTCCAGAGGATCATTCACACACCACAAATGTCATCCATTCCGAAGCATTCCTTTGATGGCGAACTCAGCGAACAAAAACGCACACAGAGTTTCATTTACATACTTCCACAACATGGCTACTTCCAAATACACACTTACACTTACTTCTACATGTCAGCACACACACACACACACACAAATTCCTATGATATTGGTCAACATGTAATAATTTGCGCAACTGCTGATCCCGAATGTCTGTAGTACTATGATCCTGCACTTGATGGTGTGCCTCGCAATGACGAGAATAAATAAATCATTTATTTATTTATTTATAAACGACGTATGTGATTATGTGACAGCGGCGCCCGTTTTTATTCCCGTAGGACATTAAACTGGTGTACTCATTTTGACCCGACTGTCTGAAACGGTGCTCAAAATATATACGCGAGGATTTATCATCCCCAAACAAATGGAACGAAAACAGGTCAATGAGGTTCTCTGCAGATAAATCTCAGGTACTCTGTCACAGATGAAGTATACCAGAAGGATCCATCATTCTCACTGGCACCCCCAGTCCAACTACGTATTTCTGTCGAGACTTAGGAATTCGATATTCGAGCAGCTGCAACTTCTCCGAACACATTGTACATCAAGTAGCGAAAGCGAAGCAACTAACAAGCTACATCACTAGGTCATTTTCACTATCCTAAACACAGCTTAAATCACCCAAACTCATTGTGCGACCCACTCTAGAGCATTGCACCATCACACATAGCCACTTACGTAAAACAGATAGAATTGCTTTGGAAAACGTTCAGCGCTCATTTACCAAAATGCTCATGGGGCGCTCATCATCGCTTACCTATGAGGAGCGATGTTCTCACCTCCAGTCTGAACCACTATGACTTCGACGGTTGAAAATCAATCTTCTCTACACCATAATATGCACCTTGTCAACATGCACAGCACGTGCAGCCACACCGGGGATGTCAAACTACAGCCACTCACTTGGCTCATTTAGCTAAATATTAAGCCTGTATATCCTTATGCCTTATTCGATACCTATTATGTGATGTCATATATATATATATATATATATATATATATATATTTATGGAAGTAGTAGTTAGGGGCGCTTAATTTCTACCCATGCCATTTAACTCCCCCTTTGCAATCGGCACGCAGACCAAACTGCTCATAATACCACAAATGTATTGGCTACTTAAGTTTGGTAGGTTCGTTGCCTAATGATGGAGCCACCCTGTTTTCTGCACGGCACTTACTTGCAAATCAGTAGTTAGTGAGCGTCGCTATATCAAACTTATTCACGACGGTTGTTGACGTCCCCCGTAGCTCAGTGGTTTCAGTCGCAGACAGGCAACAGTCAAGTTGCGGGTCCGAGCCCTACAAGGGTCAGATGGAATGCGCACTGCTGACAGTTCCCAAAAGGATGAAATGTCCGTACATTGCTTTTCCGGGTGTGTGATGGCTGCCAGGCTATCTATACCATACAATTCCCCATACTACTCTTTTGTTATATAAATATATAGAAATACGGTTATATTTCTCAACGGGCGATATACGTTCTCTTTTCCGGAACGATCATTTTTATAGCGGATCTCGTCAGCATTTCATTGATGATCTTGCATTAAACATGAATCAGTGATGCACTTTTGTTGAGTATGTGTTGAGTAACATTATTCGAAAGTTGGTATCGTCATGTTTTTCGGGCTGAATTCCATTAGTGCGCTCCTGGATTGCCAAAGATCGACTAGTTTTATCACGTGTATCAAGGAAAGAAGTGTTTAAATGAAATATAATTGTACACAGACCTTAGATAGTTTATTTCACAGATGGGCGTACTTCACTAAGAAGAAATTTACGTAGCTATTTTTCTTGGTCCTCTGTAAGAATAGTAGACATTTTCCATTACAAGTAGGATAGGTTGAATCATTTTATAAAGCGATCGACACTGTTTGAGAATACTACTGTGTATCTTATACCGTAGAGTGAGATTGATTTTCAACCGTCGAAGTCATAGTGGTTCAGACTGGAGGTGAGAACATCGCTCCTCATAGGTAAGCGATGATAGCGCCCCATGAGCATTTTGGTAAATGCGCATTGAACGTTTTCCAATGCAATTCTATTTGTTTTACGTAAGTGGCTATGTGTGTGTCGCACAATGAGTTTGGGTGATTTAAGCTGTGTTTAGGATAGTGAAAATGACCTAGTGATGTAGCTTGTTAGTTGCTTCGCTTTCGCTACTTGATGTACAATGCGTTCGGAGAAGTTGCAGCTGCTCGAATATCGAATTCGTAGGTCTCGAACGAAATACGTAGTTGGACTGGGGGTGCCAGTGAGAATGATGGATCCTTCTGGTATACTTCATCTGTGACAGAGTACCTGAGATTTATCTGCAAAGAACCTCATTGACCTGTTTTCGTTCCATTTGTTTGGGGATGATAAATTCTCGCGTATATATTTTGAGCACCGTTTCAGACGGCACACCACTTTAATGTCTTCCGCAAAAAACGAGCGCCCGTGTCTTACGTAATCACATTTATCGTCGTTTTTGTAAGTGAGCAAAAGCAATAGGCCCAATGCACTACCTTAAACGGTACCACTGGTAACATTTCTGACGTAGACCAATATTGATCAATCTATTTGTATTTGGTCGTTCAGGTGTGAATCGAACCAGCTCAATAGAGAATTGATGATTTTATTGGATTCAAGCCCAGCCGATAATGGTGTATGCGGTAGACAGTCAAACGCTTTCTGCATATTCAGAAAGGCGATGGTAGCAATGCTGTAGGCGGATCAAGTAATTGCCATTAGCATGTGACACAAGCACGTTTTGTTGTGAACCCATGTTGGGAAATGCTGAGTAAGTTTTGTCTTGTCAGTATATGTATTACCCAAGTCTTGGCGATTCTCTCTTAGACCTTAGAGTCGGCGGAGGTATGGTTTGTCGGTCGATAATTTGACATTCTAACTCGTAAACCGCCTTCGTGTATTGGTCTTATTGTGGCATTTTTCCACTGAGACGAGAAGCAGTCAGTGGTTCATGACAGTGTAAAAATGTTCACTTTGATGAGGGGTATGTTTTCGTTACCGTACCTTATAGCTGCTAGGGGAATACTATCAGCTCCCGGTTGAAATGTCGAGCTGATGGATGTAATAGTAATCTGTACGTCCTTCAAATTTAGAGGGATGATACATAGTGCCTCTTCCATTTTTCCTGGAAGGGGAGCAGAGGATACCGATGATGCAGTAGTAAACGAGGCAACAAAGTGGGAATTCATTGCAACACATATTTGGACTATATCGTCTGTTGCTATACTGTCCTCTAAAAGTAGGCTTGGAATTTCCTTCTGTCGTTTCAGATTTATTCTAACTGCACCAGTGTACGAGCTTTATCTGCATTCCTGTTGGTTCGGCTTTCTTTATAAATTTTGTCATGTTGTGTTTGGTGTTCAATTTTCTGTAAGATTTCATGTATTTGTATTAATGTAGCAATGTATTTGTTTTTGCAATGTGGTGATCTTAACTTCTTCAGCTTCGAAGCGACCTTGGAGGAGTATTTGTATGGATCATCAAAGGGTTCTGTGTTTACCTTAACCATAGGTGTTAGGATGCCTGTGCAAGTGCTGATATTTTTCGTGAATTCACCTGGGGCTAACTCCGGATCTGATATGGTGATGTATCAATCCCATCACATGCTTTCAACCAGCTTGTCAAATGTATTCTAATCAGTTGGGTGTACTCTGGCTACTGGCTTCCATATTGTTCTGGACTTTTTAGATGGTTTGATAATCATGCTAAGGAGTACCGTATTGTGGTCACATCTTATTACTAGGTCAACGTTATACGCAAACAGATGAAATACCCATCGTGAAGACCAGATAGCTAGGTACGTAGATAGCTGGATAGATAGATAGATAGACAGATAGTTGGATAGATAGATGGATAAATAGTTAGATAGATCCAACCAATGATATAGACACACTTCGCTGTTACCAGACGTCTCGTGTCCAGTGTTCCGAATGAGAGCGTTGACCTCTACATCCAAGGCGCGTTAGGACCACCAAACATCCCGATCGCCGCGAAGGCTTTGGTTGAGTCGTCGGCTGAGCATGCGGCGAAGTTCACTATGGTCTGAATTTCCCCAGAGATTTCAGTGACGGTCGAACAATGCCAATGAGCGTTCTGAGATCCAACCCTTCGAGGAGTCATAATTATACTGAATGGCTCGAATTTAGCATTGTATGTTGCGAGAAGCTCTAATTGTGTCAGTGAACTAACTTGTTTGTGATTGACAGTTGATTGTTCATCTGAGCCGACTGGTCAGTTAACGTGTTCGTATCAAGTCTACAATGCTTACGTTTTCGGAGACCCTCGAAATTACGTGTATATATTCCCACCGACCAGCGCGTTATGTAGACATTACATTCTCTTCACGTTTAGTTTAAATTCCGAAAATTATGCTGGAACGCAATAATCCTTTGCTTAGATCTTAGTAATTAACACGTGTAATTGCTTTGCGAGTATTGGTGATTTTTCGTATACTATTTTACCTTATTACAACCTTCGGTAGAGCCATGAACGTTACCTCCAAGTTGCGCTATCACAAGCAAGTCCGCTTCCAAGTCTTTGAATGCTGCATCTGCGTTTTGGCACTACTATCAATCCTTCATCGTAAACTAAGCTCTGAAATTGGTACTCCAACACTGCCCTCTATCGCATGATTCTATCACACCCTGATCAATAACCTACTGATAAGCTTGTTTAGTTAACCTGCTCATACATGACAATTGCGCGAACCACGTTACTTTGGCTTCACTTCACCAAGTCCTTTGTGGTAATCTGTACCGTGTTTCTATTTCCACTAAAGTCAACCATAACTTCATCTAGGTCCTGTTCATATGCTTCTCTGATGAATGTTTTAGCAATGATTGTGCTCCGGACAGATACAGTACAATGGTCGTGTTATGGGCCGGGCGATACTGAGTGCCTTAGACCGTTTAATTGCCACTCAGCCGAACAGATCTCCCCACAAACCGGTTGTTTGTTACATTACGCGGTGTGCACGGTTGGTGCAACCAAGATGGCATACAGGATTCGCAGATCATTTCAACAATCCTCGTTGATTGGGACCAAACGTTCACCTATTCAAATGCACCACAGGTCGTTTGATTACACCATGGTGTTCCCCGTCAATACGTGCCAGGACTTACAGCGTCAGTGGTTTTGGCTCCCGGGTTCACGCATCGAAATAAATATGGCTGGTAAAGTAAGTTTATTATTTTTTATGTCGTTATACTTCTTTTTCATGATTTATAGCTGTTTTCTAAGAGGAAAAACTTTTATCCTTGTTGTAGACCCTTCATTTGTATTCTGTGAATCAGTTTGTTTCGTATCACTTAGCTAAATATTTGTACCCATCAGCGATAGTAAAACCATGGGGGCAAAACACCCGGGATAGTTGCTTGATCAAGAAGCATTTACTCGTTTGATGAGTATTGGTAAGAATCAGAATCATTTCAACAAATGCGACGCTGCCACTGACTCATCAGTCAGTCCAGCGTTTGGTTAGGCAGGTTTTGTTTGTTTTTAAAGGATTTAATGTAGCGCCTCCCACTCCTCACTTACTTCTTGTGCAGAGGACTGGAGTCTCCCCCGAGCAGCGAATTTATCATGTTTAGTCCTACAATTTGCTTATGGCATCAGATGAATTTATGCCTATGTTCTTATAGCCCTGAACCTCCTATTACTCCCACGGCATCTACCATAGTTGATTCTTTAGCATTTACTTATCTCAGGCTACCAGTATTGTGGAGACCACTCAGTTCCACAAAACGTCGCACCGAACACTTTTCACTTCCTCCAAGTTTGCGTTATCGGTTACAACATTATGAGTTACATTTTTCAGCGACCACTTTATCAGTTGGCATCTGTCCCTGCCTTACCAAGAGACAATGTTATCAGGTCACCGACTGCGTGATGTCCTTTATTGTACCGTTGTCGGGTGGTAGTTACGTCACTCTAATCACCGCCTCGTTCTAGTGCCAAGTGACAACTATGAAGTCCTCCCGATAACGATGAAACCCGTGGTATAAATAACAGACTGTAGAAACCTTGTACGTTTTCCATCTTACTGTGATTTTCGTCTCGCCTGTCTGGTTTGACCAGTAAACGCTTCGCGGAAGGCCATTTACTTCTTCTTTCTCTCAGGGTCGCGAGTACTCGTGCGCTGTCTGTGTCACTCTCGGTACAATGAGGAAGAACCGTTGGCCGACTAAGACAGTCAAGCGCGTTTATTCGAATTCGATCCACCACTTACCCACACGGGCAGAGTCCACAAGTACCCCATCGTTGTTCCGACTAAGAGCGCTGTGTAACAGCCGACGAAGATACAAGGAACTGGCGACTTGTATTTCCGAACCAAGATAGACGTGTACTCTAATTTGAAACTTACGCTGCAACAACGACTCAAGTTGATGTCCGTCCTAACTGACAAGCTGTCCAGTTCTTACATTAAAGCAACTTCCGTTGACATTTCTGGATCGGTATACCACATTGCTAGCGGCATCCCGGAATTTCTGCACTACCCTGGAGCCCTCGTTACTTTCGAATCTTAGTACAAACTGTACGAGGACGTGAACTGGCTTGCCAGGTTGATGCGTTAAAGGTCCGGCCGCTTCTTCAGAAACGGCACGGCCCAGCATCAATAGTATATCAACTTCATTCTTCCGATGAACCCACGCGACATTTCTTTCGCCGTGACAGTCCGAACGTGGAAGCAGATATTTGGCGAATAGTCGTCATTGTTCAACGCTCGTTTCCAATGCCTGCAGTTGGCCAAACGTGATACCGATGACTTCATCACGTATGCGGGCATCATGAATCGCAACTGTGAACGCTTTCAACTCTTATCCCTCACGGAAGACTAGTTTATGTTCCTCCAGTCTGCTCATGATGCCGACTTCCGAATATGCCTGTTCATGGGGCAGCAAGCAGCATAGAAGCTGGCCGAGGAGTTTCAAACACTGAGCAACCTGAAGCACGACTCCACAATGGTCCAAAGCACTCCTTCATCCGTTTAGTTGCATGCAGCCCCGGTATATAGGCTGCAAACTACCGCGCAACCTACCAACCCCAACAGAGGGAAGTCCCCACCCACTTCGTGCCGGTTCTTTGATGCATGGCGTTTCTACTAAGATTGCAACCTTCGCCAGCACCGATGGCAACAATGTGGTCGGGTGGTGCACTGTGTTGGCTACTGCAATCAAGGGAGCCAAACCTGACCCGTTCCCCAAACCAATTCCAAAAGAGAAAGTCCCGATCCAGACGCAAGCCCAAAACTTGTCCGGTTGACAGCTCTATGAACCTGTTGGCCACATGCCAAGCAACGCCACTGACCGCAGGAAGTTCATCGAAGTTCCGATCAACGGTCGGCCCGCCCGTTTGCAGTTAGACACTGCATCGGACATCACAATCCTCTTCGAGAAACTTGCGGTCACTGGGCAAACTTCAGTTCGAGCCGACTTCTCAATACGCCACCACTGCCAGTGGTGGTTAAGTGCAGTTAACCGGGCAGCTGCTCTTCTGGGTCTTCTTACGTGATGCCACATTCATCATCATCATTACACGTTAGCTGGAGGTGAAAAGCACCTCAGCTATTGTGCCGCAATACGAAAGACAAGAAAAGGAAAACAAACAGTGGCACGCTCGCTGAGTCTCCAGTAGCGGATGCACATCTTTCCGGAGAGCTAACAGGTGGCTATCGTGCCGTAAAAAGAGAGTTATATTATGCCTAACAAGTGAGATCGTGATTGGAGTGGGATGCTAAGCAGGGGGGGATGGACAAGAGAGCTCACAACACAAACGCCATTGGGGTCGGTTCCAAGCCATATCAGCAAGTGTGTCCAACCAAACGTGTTCACTGTCCTTAGGACCCCAGCCAGGCAGTCGGGATGCACCAACCGACGCCAACTTTGAAGTGAGGGCTTTCATTTCTCTCGACCAAGTCATCACTTGGCCTCCCCTCCTCCTCTTCCAACCGCACCCACAACGCGCAAACAATGCACGTCGCGGGAGTTGGTATGCTGGTATGCGCAACACGTGGCCCAGCCAGCGGAGCCTGGTGCGTGATATAATGGTGCTGAGCGGTTCACTTGCTCTTCCTGCACCAAATACGCGACGTCGAACACGCTCACTGATCACGCGGTGCTCCCACCAGACATGAGCTAAGCTGCGAAGGCGGCGATGATCGAATATGACGAGCCTCCTTATGTCTGTCGACCTGATGGGCCAGGTTTCACAGCCATATAGGAGAGTTTAACGGACGGCTGCGTTGTAAACTCTGCCCTTCAGGGCGAGAGTAATGTCGCGTTTGCGCCACAGGTGGCGGAGATTGACAAAAGCACCTCGAGCTTTTGCTATGCGGTTCGTACCCTCATCTTCAATCCCACCGGTGCTAATATAGCTGCCCAGGTACTTGAATTCCTGAACGACTTCTAGCAGATTACCACCAAGTGTTAGCGCAGGGTTGGGTCCCTGCCAATCTTGGAGAAGTACTTTGCATTTCGATGGAGCAAAGCATAGCCCAAAACGATTGACAGTCAGTGCTATTTGGCATGTTTGGGAGCTGTCACAGATTAGGGAACTATCGTCTGCATACTCCAAGTCAAGAAGTAGCTCCACACCTTCTAGGTCGTGTCCAGCGAACGCTGTTTCCATGACTTCATCAATAGCGAAGTTGAAGAGGAAAGGTGACAGCGGGCATTCTTGTCTCTGATGATACTGAAGGGTGGCGACAGTTTGCCATAAACCCTTACCCTGCCCGAACTATGCGCGTACAGCGCTTTGATAATGTTTACATATTTATCAGGCACACCTTTCCTCAACAGACAGTCCCAATGGGCACATCGGTCGGCTGAGTCGAAGGCGCCTTATATGTCAAGAAACACGAAAACGGTGGGTCGCCAATAAACATGGCGGTGCTCCAACACTTGACGCAATGTGAAGATTAGGTCGATGCAGCCCCGACCGCGACGAAGTCCGGCTTGCTCTTCACGAATCTGGCTTTCACGAGTACCAGTCAGTCTGTGGAGAATGACAGAGGCAAGCAATTTAGAGTTAATCGATATCAGACCGATCCCTCTATGATTGTCGCATTCCAAACGTGAGCCTCCCTTGAAAACTTGGACAATGACGGAGCGGTTCCAGTCTGTCGGGACTGTCTCCTGCTCCCAAACTTTTACTAGCAACTCATGTAAATCATCTACTAGAGCAGGTCCCCCGAATTTGAAGAGGGCTGGGGGAATTCTATCTGCCCCTGCGTCCCTATGCAATTTCAACAGCCTGCTCTGACGTTCGACTTCTGCACGTGATTGCGGATCCAAGGAGACGGCCCAAGGAGAAGGGCGCTCAATGCCCGAAGAAGAAAGCGATAACTCAGGTTTGTTAAATTGCCTCGCAAAGTGTTCAGCCCAACCCTCCAAGCGTTTTGACAGACTGTGGATCGGCTTCCCACTCTCGTCGCGTATGGTCTCGCTAATACCAAGTCTCCAGCTGCCTGCTTCCCGTATCAGACGGCATAACGATGATTACCAACGGCAGCGGCTGTTTCCATTTCCGATGCACGATGAAACCACCAGGTTTCGCGGTCCTTCAGGCTAGCACATAGTTTTGCCCTGAGATTTTTGCGAGCCTCATTGTATTCGCTTCCAGCCGGAATATGTCGGCGAGCATCCATAAGTTCCAGAGACTGCGTAGAGACCCAATGTCCGGTTTGGCAATTTGCTTTGCCACATGAAGACGTGCCTGCTAACAGCAACGCTTGACGAATATGCGACCAGTGATCTTCAACGATGTTCAGTGGGCGCTTACTCAGCCCAGATGTCAGCGCACTTTGGTAAACATTCAGAACATCTGGCTTCGCCAGCTGGCTGGTGTCAATCCGTTCACATCGACGTTGCGGACGTCCACCGAAACGCACCAGGAAGTCGGCACAGACAAGCGCGTGGTCAGAGTCCACGCTCGTGCTCCAAATCGAGCGACAGTTTGGACACAGCCTCTCCAGCGGTAACTGATCGCGATATGATCGATTTGCGTCCATGACTGGCCCGAGGTTGGTGGTCGGCAATTCACGCTTCTGCGGATGCTGTGTCGGAAATTAGTGCTCGCGAGAAAGAGGCGAGCATCTTCACACAGCTTTAGCAAGCGCTCACCGTTATCATTACGGGAGCCTATATCATGTTGGCCACCCAGATGAAGTTCATCAGAGGA